TGAGAGCATCCTGGAACTGTGGCTGAAGGGGCAGGCTTTCTGGGTAGCTTCAGGATGCTGGGAAGGAAGCAGAGTGGAGCTCCTTCCTGTTCCTGAGGGAGAGGGCCCAGTCGAAAAGGGTGTTCCCGGGCAAGCTTCCTGGGTAGAGACCAGCCGAGGCTATGTCACAGGACCCTGGGTGAGAGGACATGCTAGGGCATTCCCCCGGGCCTCCGGACTACCCTCAGCTAGGGGAATAGGGGCAGGTTGTGAGAGACTCTCCATCTTCTGTAGGCAGGGACAAGCTGGGAAGACGTCTCCTGCTGTGGGTAGACCTGCGGTAGTGGAGAAGATAGGCTGCACTGCCTCAGGCCCTTGGGAAGAAAGACAAACTGGGGGGGTTCCTGTGGCCATTGGATGGTCTGAGGCTGTGAGAAGGTCCCGACCTGGAGAAGTGAGGGAATGTGGGGATAACCCAGGTCCATGTTGGGGAGGGCAGTCTGTGCAGGTTTCTGGGGCTCTGGCAGAAGAAGCTGTGTACGGGCATATGTTACGGGAAAGGGGGCAAATTGTAGGGCCCCCTGATACCTTGATGGTACTACCCAGGGCTGCAGAAGATGAAACTACCTCTCAGGGGCCCCCAGGGTTGTGGCAAAGGGGACAAGAGGTGGAAGATATGGGTTCTAGGTGTATTCCTGGCCTGAGGGCTATGGGACAGATGGTAGGAGTGCCTTGTGCTAGAGAAGAGGGAGCTAGATGTGGAGGTGACCCTGGGTCATGGGGAGCTGCCCAGGCTGAGGAGCTAGAGGCAGGTTCTCAAGGTGTGGAGGGCCTGTGGGGCATAGAACAGGCAATGGGAGCACCCAGGGCTTTGGGAAAGGAGGCAGATGAAGCAGGTGTTCCAGGACTGTGGGGAACAGGACAGCTCCCCGGCTTGCAGCCTGTGGTGGTGTCAGGAGACAGGGGAGAAGAAGCCAGCTATGATGTTTCGGGCCTGTGGGCGAGGCAGCAGGCTCTAGAGGCCCCTCTGGCTGAGGCATTACCAGGGCCAGTTATGGAGGAGACACACAGTGGGAATCTAAGCCTGCAGGAAAGAAGGCAGGTCATGAGGCAGCATGAGACCCAGGGGCCTGACGCTTTAGGGATCCCCGGGACTGTGGATCAGGATGCCAGTTATGGAGGTCTCAGATGTCCGTGTGGGAGGAGGCAGGCTGTGGGGGTGTTTGAGACAGTTGTGATGCCAAAACACAGGTATGCCACAGAAAGAGTACCCTCAGCTCTGGGTGTACCTGCTGCCTTGTGGGTGTGTCAGGAAAGCAGCCCTGTGGATGCTGTGAACCTGCAGGGAGGGACTCATGTTACTTTGGGGAGGCCCATGGTTCCTGAAGAGTGTTCTTCTGTGGTAGAGGATACTGAGTCTAGGACTCTCTCAGGTTCTCAGGGAAGGAGACAAGCTGGTGGGGTTCCCATGTTTCCTGAGATACCTGATTTTCTGGCAGTAGAGCCTGGATCTGGAGGTTTCTCAGGCTTGTCAGGAAGGAGACTAACTGTAGATATACCTGTGACTGCAGGGGTATCCCCTTTTGGTGTGGGTGGGGCAGCTGGGACATCTAGTTCTGTGTGGGAGCATGTTAGCTCTAGGAGAGTCTCAGACTTAGCAGAAGGTAGGCCACCTACAGGGGTATCCATGACTGTGGGGCTCCCTGAGGCCATGGGTGATGAGACACTAGCTGAGGGTTTACAAAGAAGACAGTCTGCCTCGATGCCTGTGGCTGCTAGATTTGCCACTATGGGAGTGCCCACAGCTTCTGGGCTCTGTGGGCCTCACAGGGTGGTGGATAGTGCCTGTGGAGAAAGCTTGGGGTTTTGGCAAAGAAGACAAATGACTGATTTGCCAACTGCTGCCAGAGTCCCTAAACCTGAGATGGAGGCAGGCTCTGAAGGTGTCTCTGATCTGTGGAGGGGACACAGTGGGACAGTTCCTGAGGTAGTGAGGGGGACATTGCATCAAGGGATGCTTGCAGCTGTTGGGGTCGGACGTGTTCCTGCGGCAGTGTGGATG